CGACCTCCTCTGTCCGCTCATGCTTCAGCATGTTAACATGAAACATGCGTCTAGCTCCTTTAGCTGATCAGGTAGTGTCAGGATTACAGTTGATCCAGCACGTAGAATAGTATCACACCTAAGACTAAAGGTAATATTTAACCAGACCTTAGAGTGAACAGATGTGGGGCTATGTAACAGTTTGGATTCGCAGTGGCCGGCGTTCACCGGCATGTCACAAAACCCTGGCCTTATGGCATAGGACCGGCCTAGGGTAGGGTAGGGGAATGCTCATGAGGAATAGAGTGGGCGTGTGTGGAAAATAGGGTCATGGGGATGGTTGCGTGTGCCTACCTTAGCCTCAGAGTGTGAGCTGTCCTGGGTGGTGCGGGCTAGATGCCGGGTCATCACTAGATAGGCCTCTGCATGTTCGCTGGTGGGGACATATGTGGAGGTGAGCTGGCCCAGGTCATTGCCCAGCAGCACATCGGCGGGTAGGTTGTTCATGAGCCCGATCTCCATTATCCGACTCCCAGCTCCTCAGTCGAGATGGACCCAGGCTGTGGGCAGGTGATTAATGGCTCACCCTGCCACCCGGACAGCCAGTGTCCCTCCGATCTTGTCCTTCTCTGCGACAAGATGATGCTGTACAAGGGCCAGTGTGGCTCCTGAATCTTGTAGACCCTGCACAGAGCATCCATTCAGCTGAACCGGTTGTCGTGATGGTCTCAGTTACCGGAGGCAGCCTGTATGGGGTCTGCCTAATGCAGGTCACTCCAGGCTTCCTCGTTGGGATTGGGCCCACGGTGCAGAAGGAGTCCCTGGCTGGATCCACGCGGACCGGTCCCTTAGCTGGGGGCACTCCCTCTTGTAATGGCTCCACTGTTGGCACTGGTGACACGGACCAGCTGCCTGGCTTGGCATTCTCGGAGCTGGTGCGGGAGCTGGGGAACCTCGGGGTGGAGTGGCTGCAGGGGAGGTAAACTGCGGTGCCCAATGTACTGGTGGTCGGTAGATTAGGGTGGTAGCCGGATGCTGGGGGCGCCTGGTATCCGCGTATTTATTGGCTTTTTGGGCTGCTACAGTTAAAGTCTTAGGCTACTGGTCTCTTACCCAATCTTGAATCTCTGTGGGTAGCCCATTGTAGAAATGTTCCAGCAGGAAAAGCTGCAGTACTTCTTCTGGAGTCTCTCCTTGCTGAGCTTTGGGCTGCCTTGCTCAGGTAGCAAGCCCACTCCGCGTGGGTGTCCTGGACCCCCTTCTTCAATTCCCTGAACTTTCGGAGATATGCCTCTGGGGAGATGGCATACCTTGTCAACAGAACCTGCTTCACAGCAGCATAGTTCCGCAGGTCTTCCTCGGGTACAGCCTGGTAAGCATCCGCAGCTTTCCCTGTGCCAGGATGGGAACCCAGTTTACTGGGGTAATCTCATGTAGCAGGCAGAGGCGCTCAAAGTCCTGCAAAAAACCTTCTTCCACCTCTACAAACTTTTTGAAGGCTTGGTAGGATAGTTTGGTCTTTGGCTCTTGGGTGGCTGAACCCCCGGGACTTACACTGCCCTCTGATCAGGCTTGGATGTGGGATTCACCCATGCCCTCTGTGCCAAGAGATAGACTTGTGCCTTGGCAAAGATCTGAGTCATGATCTCTGCAGAGGGCCTCTCACCATAGCATGCCAGGCAATGATCCATTTTATTGTCCAGGGCATCCTTCTCACTTCCTGGTTGCTGTGCAATGGCCATGCCACATATTTAGTCATCCTCCATGAGGGCAGCGACCAGGTCAGCTCTAGCAACTCCTGCAACGTCTGTCGCTTTAACGTGGAGTGGTCCATCAGTCAGTGCTGTTAACGAACATGGGTTCTGCAGGGAAGGAATATGTAGCAGACCATGGGTAATCTGACCGGTTACCTCTGCTAGTTCTCTTACTTCAACCAGTCAGGAACCGCTTAAAATGTACAGAGTCCCATTTCCTCGCCCCAGTAACTTGACGAGACCGTGTTCTGGAGGTACAACAACACTTTATTTGCCACAGATGGCTTTTAAGCAAAACCCCATGCAAGGGGTGTGACACATGACATAGAATGTCCCCTCCCAGGATCCTCCCCCTCCCAGGTGTCTTAGCGTGACACAGGAGTTCCAGTCCCTTTGTCCCCTGTCCCCGCTACCCAAGTACAGGGTTTCCCACTTCCAGTAACAGGGGATCTTCTTCCCATGAGCCTCGGCACCTGGAAGTCACAGCTCAGGTAAACCACCTGCCTTTTTGACTCCCAGTTACAGAAAGCCCACCCAACCCATCCAGTGTCCCCAAAGGATGCCCACACCAACCCCAGGATTGTCACAAACAGCCTCCATTAGTGGGGTCCCTGAGTGAAACCAGGCAAGGGAAACCAGGCAAGGGAAGGGTCTCCTTTCAGGATAAGAATGCTCCCCTTGGATGGCGTTCGTCTATAAGAACTGGCAGCCACCCAAGGGTGGCACATGTCAAGGCTTCCCTTGCGGTTTTGGCAGGAGGTTGAGGTGCGAACGCTCTAATGAGCGTTCTAAATGGATTATTGGGGTGGTCCTGGTTTGGGAGGCAAATGGATTCCCTTTGTGGAGGCACTCCCGAATGGGGAGCAGGCATTTTACATGAACACACAGTTTAGTATTCATATTGAAGACAGGGAGAATACACGAACAACCAGGGTTCCCTCACAGTAAGGTTGAAACCTTTTTAGAGCCCACAGTAAAGCCAGGATCTCCTTTTCAATTGCTGCAGAGACAGAGACACCCTTCCCACTAATCAGTTGACCTATTTATGGAATCTGGAAGCAGCCCCCATAGAGGAAAGATACCATCAAAAACACTGGCTTAATGTTGGACCAGCCAATCTGAACACCAGCCATCCAGAAAGCAAGCCACTGGATATTGGAAACCATAATGCAAGCCAAGTCCAGCTTTGGGAAACAACCCAAGATGAATGACAGCCTAATAACGTGCATCGCAGTGAGCTCGGGCCAAGACCGGCAGGTCTGGCCTAAAAAGACGGACAAGCTAATGGATAGAAACCACTTCTGTGGCAAAGTCCAAATTCTCGTCACGTAAAATAGAGAAAGCATTAAGTGATGCCCAGTACACAAAGGAATGGAGAACAAACCACACTCTGCAGGGGGGGGGGGGGTGTTACCCAGGCTGAAACAAAGAAAGTCAATCAGCTGAGAGGGCAGAGGAAATGGTAGATGTGTATTCTTGTATGTGTGTGGGAGGTGGACCTCAACAAGGTGTAGTGGAGCCAGCAGGTCCTGTACTAGAGGGAAAGGGTCTAACATACAGCCTGTACCATGGGATCTCCAGAGGCCTAATGTACAGATATTCCACAGATCCATATCCAACCACGCTGTATGATTGGCCATTCCAATATTGAACGATTGGATGTAATATGAAACCCACCCAAGCTAGCTAAGTGACAGTGGCCATCAACACCATAACAAACTGGAACCTAGAAAGGTATGACGCATCCTGATGTACCAGGAACTGGAATGAAAAGAGCATGCACAGTGGGGCAAAGGACCTGACCAACACCACAGTGTGGAATTCCCATTCCTCCTGTTTGGAAGGCATCAGCTAAGAACACCTGCTTTTATTACAATGTCAAACCTAGGGACAAACAACAAAACTGACTCTCCCATCAGTACAATGCAACTGAACAACCAAACACAACAGCTGACTAAGCAGGAGCCACCAACTCCCCCAACTACAGGGCCTCAAAAATGCCAGGCCAAAAGCTGTGCAGAACAAGAAGACTTTGCAATGGGAGAAACAGACAAAAGACAAAGCGTACAAAATTGAAAGCAAGCGTTTGGGAGTAATTAGTTCCCTGCCATCAGGAGCCCTCATTGTCACTCTACTCCAACCCTTAAGAACCTGCCTGATCAGAAAAGCTTAGTAAGGTGGGACTTTCCTGCTACCTCCAAAAACTAATCCACACAGCCAAATGACTGCGAAAGACTCTAGGATCTCAAGAGAGCTAACCAGTCAAACAAAGTTACCTGGGGAGTCTCCAGCTCTGAAACATGATCGGCATGGCAAAATCTTACCCACTCTCTCCAACATAGGACTTCTAGGTAATAAGGGCCAATAAGGCATCCACCAGCTGCCAGAGAAAGGGAGGACAATCAGCGCAAGATGTATATACAGGGAGTGCAGAATTATTAGGCAAGTTGTATTTTTGAGGATTAATTTTATTATTGAACAACAACCATGTTCTCAATGAACCCAAAAAACTCATTAATATCAAAGCTGAATATTTTTGGAAGTAGTTTTTAGTTTGTTTTTAGTTATAGCTATGTTAGGGGGATATCTGTGTGTGCAGGTGACTATTACTGTGCATAATTATTAGGCAACTTAACAAAAAACAAATATATACCCATTTCAATTATTTATTATTACCAGTGAAACCAATATAACATCTCAACATTCACAAATATACATTTCTGACATTCAAAAACAAAACAAAAACAAATCAGTGACCAATATAGCCACCTTTCTTTGCAAGGACACTCAAAAGCCTGCCATCCATGGATTCTGTCAGTGTTTTGATCTGTTCACCATCAACATTGCGTGCAGCAGCAACCACAGCCTCCCAGACACTGTTCAGAGAGGTGTACTGTTTTCCCTCCTTGTAAATCTCACATTTGATGATGGACCACAGGTTCTCAATGGGGTTCAGATCAGGTGAACAAGGAGGCCATGTCATTAGATTTTTCTTCTTTTATACCCTTTCTTGCCAGCCACGCTGTGGAGTACTTGGACGCGTGTGATGGAGCATTGTCCTGCATGAAAATCATGTTTTTCTTGAAGGATGCAGACTTCTTCCTGTACCACTGCTTGAAGAAGGTGTCTTCCAGGAACTGGCAGTAGGACTGGGACTTGAGCTTGACTCCATCCTCAACCCGAAAAGGCCCCACAAGCTCATCTTTGATGATACCAGCCCAAACCAGTACTCCACCTCCACCTTGCTGGCGTCTGAGTCGGACTGGAGCTCTCTGCCCTTTACCAATCCAGCCACGGGCCCATCCATCTGGCCCATCAAGACTCACTCTCATTTCATCAGTCCATAAAACCTTAGAAAAATCAGTCTTGAGATATTTCTTGGCCCAGTCTTGACGTTTCAGCTTGTGTATCTTGTTCAGTGGTGGTCGTCTTTCAGCCTTTCTTACCTTGGCCATGTCTCTGAGTATTGCACACCTTGTGCTTTTGGGCACTCCAGTGATGTTGCAGCTCTGAAATATGGCCAAACTGGTGGCAAGTGGCATCGTGGCAGCTGCACGCTTGACTTTTCTCAGTTCATGGGCAGTTATTTTGCGCCTTGGTTTTTCCACACGCTTCTTGCGACCCTGTTGACTATTTTGAATGAAACGCTTGATTGTTCGATGATCACGCTTCAGAAGCTTTGCAATTTTAAGAGTGCTGCATCCCTCTGCAAGATATCTCACTATTTTGACTTTTCTGAGCCTGTCAAGTCCTTCTTTTGACCCATTTTGCCAAAGGAAAGGAAGTTGCCTAATAATTATGCACACCTGATATAGGGTGTTGATGTCATTAGACCACACCCCTTCTCATTACAGAGATGCACATCACCTAATATGCTTAATTGGTAGTAGGCTTTCGAGCCTATACAGCTTGGAGTAAGACAGCATGCATAAAGAGGATGATGTGGTCAAAATACTCATTTGCCTAATAATTCTGCACTCCCTGTAGTTGTTTTTTAATTAATGTTATTTCTCTTTTTTAAGAAGAATTGTCAACTATATAAATCCCATTTATAAATATTGTTAATTTTGTTCCTTTTAATAATTAAATATATTTCCCATATGCAATCTTGTTTTATTTCATATTATATTAGCTTATTATCCTTTTTCCTCCACTCATTTCTGCTTCCCCCCACCTTTTCCTATTTCCTATTTTTACCTTTCCCTTATTTTATATTTCATGAGTATTGATTATTATTTGATTATTATCTTTTTCCCATGTTAGAATATAGAGATTTAGAAGAAACTGTAAATATCCTTGTGTAAAATGTGTGAGTTATAAACTAGAAAAGCAAGAGACAAGTTAATTCATTGCAAGAAAACAAAAAAAGAATATTAGAAATCTGAAAATGGACAATAGCTTAGAGGAACTCAGTAGCTTGCCCTTCGGTAAATACCCGCTCAGGTCTCAAAATAATTTTTGCTACTTGTAATGGACGTAAAAATGGTTTTAGTAAAATGTCTATTTACTCTATATACCTGTATTCAATATTTACTCAAAATGGCTACTAGAGCAACCCTTCCCTTCAACTAACTACCTTGTGTAACAAGATGGCGCCTGTATCTGGAGTAAAATCCCAGGAAGATGGTGACATCAAGCCTTGTAGGATATGCATTAGATAAAACACTTAACACCTAACCAATTAAAGATGTATTCTTACTGTTATCTACATGTTTGCATATGATGTATTCTTGTCTTTATAAGGGGCTGCCGCCCCCTAAGTAAACATTGCAAAGTTTTTCATCAGCCTGAAACCTGTGTCTCAGTGTGATTTACTTCAGAGAGTGCACACTTTCTGTTTTAAACAATTTAGACAGGGGGCAGATATTGAGATAATCAAACACTTGGTTTGATCCACAACACTACTGAGTTCCTCTAAGCTTTTGTCCATTCTCAAGGTTCTCGTATTCTCAGTTTTTCTTGCAATGCATTAACTTTGCTCTCCCGAAGTTTAAAAGGGTAATTCATAACCTCCCCTTTGCTAATTTTTCCGATAGTATTCTTAGGCTGATTCTTGGTTTCTTATTTTGCCAAATAAATTTGGTAAATACTGTTTGGATCATTTTAAGCCAATTTATTGGCAATTCAAGAGGAATTATCTGTAACATGTAGGAACTGAACTTGGGAACGTTGAAACTTACCATGAATGGCACCACAACATTTCACCCATCATTACTTTAAAAGCATATTTCAGTTTGTTTATTCTTCATTGTGTGGCACACATTTATCTTACCTTGGGGCCCCCTAGGGGGTTTCATTTAACTTTAAGTCACTGTCCGTGCCAATGACTTGCCTTTTGATACCCTAACGTTAACAGTAAACTGTACTGTGTTTTTTGTGCCTTTACGTTTGTGCCTTTACTACTGTTACAAGCATGTGTGGATACAGTCCTTATCTTGCCACTATTAAACCATCATGCCACTTCTGCCATACCCCCCTGCTGAGATTAGCTGCCTCCCAGTGCTGGAAATTGGGTGAGGGTGCCTCAAGCAATGAGTCCTTGCTTGAGAAGCCCTGATTTTAGTTTTTAGCAGCCTTCATTCAGCCATGCAATTGTATTTTCCTCACGTCTCATTAATTTTGGCATATGTTTTTTCACACTCATGCACTATTCTGGTTATGGTACTGGTAGACACAGTCCCAGTAATAAAAGTTTACTGTTAAGCATAATGGAATTTAATCCCCTTTACAATAAGCTAAATGCTTAACAACAGCTCGACCTAGGTTCATGTGGTATATACAAAGAGCACTGTAATTTTTTCATCTTACCTTATTTTAATTTAATTTAAAATTATACCTCACTATACCACTATAGTTACCCAAGCATGTTCACTCACACATATGACCACCCTTAATGGGTCTCAAATTTTCCCTATGCCATACTTCTCACTTATATGACTACATGTTTGCCTAGCATGATTGTTACTACTTTACATATATACCTTTATAAATGTGCATTTCCTCTTGACATTTTCTGCTCTAACCAAAAACGTGTATTCAGTCATTTTGCGATGCAACATATGTCAATGTCATATAGTGTATATCTCATTGCACTACAAAAAAAAGAATTTAAAAAAATTAAATGAAAAAAAAGACTGGCAAGGCACCCATTGCATGCTAAAATTTTCATCCCATATCACTGATAAACAAAATAGATTATCTCAAATTTTGCTGTCATTGGTTAGCAATGATCATGTGGGATTTATTATAAACTGGCAGGCACCGATTCAAAGTTAGATGCGGAGAAGGGGTTTGATAGGATTCATTGGGGTTACCTTAGGGAGGTACTGTTGTGTTTCAATTTGTCTGATCCTTTCATCAGGGCTGTGGTTGTATTATATTGCAGGCCTATGGCTAGAGTTCCGGCGGCTGGATTCATGTCTGAAGCATTTGAATTGTCTAACGGCACAAGAAAGGGATGTCCATTGTCGCGACTTTTATTCGTGTTGGCAATGGAATCTCTGGTACAAATGATACGCCAGTCAGTTAACATTGCGGTATTTCTGTAGGGGATAATTAACATAAAATTGGTTTATTTGCAGATGACATCATACTTTCTTTAAAAAAAACCTGTTGACCACATTATCTCCATTGATGTCTATTCTGCAAGAATTTGGCAATATCTCCTATAAGAAATTAAATACGACAAAAACTCAAGCTCTTTAGTTTTTTTTTACCATGGTTCAATTTGAATGTATGATTTCGATTGGAGGGACTCCTATATTTCTTATCTGGGCATGAATCTGTGCAAGAATTTGTCCAAGATGCATAGCTGTAATTTAGAAAAGGTCTCGTTCGAACTTGGGGAAGACATTGAGAGATGGTGTGGTCTCGAAATCTCTTGGTTAGGTAGGATTAATTTGGTCAAAACTACTCTCCTTCCAAAAATGTTATATATACTTAGAACAATTCCCCTCTCTAAACTTTTATCATTTTTTTAGAAAAATCCACTCTGCCCTTGTTTCATTTATTTCGAATAAAATACCTAGTAGGATTAAACTATCCATTTTACAAAAACCCAGAGTTGGGGGAGGTATGGGTTTGCCAGATTTTATTCATTACAACTATGCTACTAATGCAGCAATGGAACTTAAATTTAATTTAGATAACGCCAGGCCCCAATGGCTTGAGATGGAGGCAAATAAGATTTGACCTTGTTGCATTAAAGATTTATTATGGTTGCCTTCATATCAATGCCCTAAAGCAGCGGTCATGTTTCCCTCTACTAAATTAACCCTTAAAATGTGGAACCTATTATTCCAAAAAATTCAACCTTCTGCCACATGGTCCAGAGCTACACCATCGTCAGCAGTTTGTTATGCTTTACCTGAATTAGATGTATATTACTAGGCCTTCCCTTCGATTGTCCATGTTAGTGATCTATTTTCTTCCAATGGCCTTCTGCCTTTCGATCAATTGAAAGATAAATTTGATTTAAATTTGCTTGATACCCCAACACATGAGACACTTGTGACAACAATTAGAGAACATTTTGCTCTTTCTGATCAACATCCCATTGTGTTGAAATTGGTTATAACAAAATTAGAAAAAATCTATTATTAGATCCTGGTCAGAAACAAAGCATCTCCTTGTGTTACAATATTTTTGCAGGTGACATGTGTGATAAAACGAATTACATGTTGAGGTGAGAGAGTGAGCTGGGTGGGATATACACAGTAGAGGAGTGGAATGAATTTTTCTTATTGTTAAACGGTATTAATGTGCAAACCGTTTGGAATACCATTACAAATTAATTTATAGATTGTACCTAACCCCTTCCAAACTTTTTTAACATGCACCTTAGCGAAAATAATAAATTGGTACATTATTCCACATCTTCTATTCGTGTCCCAAAATAAAAAATTTTACTGGTTGAAAATTCTAAAATTAATTAATCACATAATAGAAGTTTATGTAATATTATTCCCATGACTTTGTCTCTTTAAGAAAATTCCATCTAACCTGCCTAGATACAAAAAAATTACACTAGGCCATCTTCTCATATCAGCTAATTCCATAATCTTTCTTCATTGGAAGTCACCCACTGTTCCAACTGTAGGTGAGGTCTTATCTCTCGTTTTTAAAAATAAAAAAAAGGTGTGAATTGGCTTTTCGTGATCCATCTACTTTCACATCTATATTGCTGCATGGATGGTTAATGTGGGAAGAGTCCCCCTGCACTGCTGCCTTCCACATGGCCACTGTATCAGGCAACCCATCACTGAGGGACTGGGGGAGAGAAACCTCAGTAGAGGCAATCAGGCTTTACACCTGCTTAGCAGAAAACAACTTTGTAAGCATCCTAAACATCACCTTCTGCCCCTTGCCCACGAGACCTAAGGATATTTCATCCTTTAACTCCAAATTGTCAGAAGAAAAATGTGCAAAAAGGTGTTGTGCACATGGTCACCAATTATAGGCTTATGGGAAGAAAACACGGGGTCACTGTCTTGGGCCAGCTGGTGCAGTAAAAGGATCTAAGGGGGATTCATCCAAAGGTTGCTGAGGAGAGATCACATAATCAGCTTCTCACTTAGGTTGCTGAGGAAGGACTGTGTCACTCACTGTGTGGTGAACTTTGATCTGCGTCACTCAGGAAGACATTTGCTCACCGAGTGCCTGCAAAATCGAAGAAAACTTTGGATAACCTAGGGTATTGGAGAAATTGGGAATTCATGTGGAATGAGACCATGACCCGCCCAAACACCAAGATGAGGTGCATGCTACACAAAGTATTCATTTAGTTTCACTCCCCTTGAAGGACACCGCCCCTTATTTTGTTATGTGCCCTCTACAGAACTCCACTCCCAAAATATTCTGTCAAAGAGTTTTTTTTCTTTTTTTAGTTTTATAATGCATTGTACATTGTACATTTAGATAACTGCACTCTCAGCCTGAAATTTCCATTGCAGATTTTTCCCAAATTCAGTGTATGAACAGCTAACCTCCCTGATCCTACTCTACGAAGTCCATTTAGCAATAAAAATCCAAAGCCTCATAAATCCAAGCCCTGATGGCTTGTATAATCTTTATTTTAAAAGTGACCACAGTCTCAGTCAGTTAATTAGTGATTCTCAGTACTAAATGTGAATTTAAAAACATAGTGCTCAGTGATGTAACTACCACCTTGCTACCAACTAGCTGCGACCCCGGCAAACAAGCCCTTCACTCTGCGACCCCTGCGACCGTGGGCCATCATACCTTTAGAGTCAGTATTATGCCGCAGTGGCCTGGGGCCTGCGATTGCCAGGTAAACGGCAGGGGAGGAGCACTGTGCTGTGCTGCTTCCCTCTTGCCACTGTGTGTAGCAAGACCAACAAGAGAAGAGACACAGATGGGGGTTAACAGATGGAGAGACACAGATGTGGTTTAGACAGATGAAGAGGTACAGCTGGAGGTTTGGACACATGGAGAGTCCCAGATGGGGGATTAGACATTATGAGAGACACAGATGGAGTTTGGATAGGTGGAGAAACACACATGGGTTTGATAAAAGATCAGAGATACAGCTAGGGGTTAAGCATGGGGAGGTGAGATGAAGAGAGAATGAGGAGGGTAGTAAACTTTGGAGACATAAAATTAGAGGAGTTACACAATGGTATCCCTTAAATACATTACTGAATTAAAGGAAAACTCAATGGATGTTTTTTTCACTATTTAGTAGATATACCTCCACACATGAAAAAATATATGCTGGTGAATAGTCCAGTCAGAGGATTCTCACTGAGAAGCTTCTGTGCTGGAGTTATGCATGTAGTTACATATGATCGTGGCTTTTCAATGCTTCTCACTGAACTGTAGTACTACTCACTGAGAAGGAGGGGGGTAGGGGGGGGAGAAAGGCATGCTCTGTCGAGCTAATGGAATTAGAAACTTCCCACATGTAGAATGACAGTGTTGATATGAAATCTGCACTTCTATAAACTTTTTTTTTATGACAAACTCCAGAGATATGAAACTCTTCAGTAAGCTGAATTGCTTTATGTGTCTATAGTGTGCTCATAACATGCCTCATAAATTCACCACAAAAACAAATTGTAAGATTCACGTCATAAATAGCCATACCGGAACTATAGCAGAACTGGAGGATTTTTCCAAATCCACTTCTTTGGCCTTCAATTCTCTACATTAACATCTTGAGTTTAGGTAATAAACTACAGAGCTTTATTCATTAAATGTGAAATATAGTGAAGTGACAAAAATAACTTAACATTTATCCAATTCAACTTAAGCAAAGCTTGGCTATTTGAACCTACATTTTGCCATTGACATTACAAATCATTACAATTTTGTATTTAGTGATAAACCCCCTTTGTATTTGTACTTATTGTATATGATGTAGACAGGGATGTGACGCAGACAGCCTGCTGCTGGGTTCATTGAGTGAGCACTCAGAAGAGCAGTCCAATTTCTCCAAACTGCAGAGCAATCTCCCCAAATCAAACTGCATTTAGTTTTTTTGTGATTTACAACATTTTCCACCCACTAAATGTTTTTTTTTTTGTCACTCTTATGCCTCCTTGTTATTTTCATACTGTGATGTCATACTATGTGATGTTACATATATATATATAATTTTTTTTTTTTCATGAAAGGTGGCTACCCTATCAGTATAAGAGGTTACTATTGGGGAGATGGGGACTGATCACTTCCTCTTCCTGTCCAACCTCACACACATACACCAGATGAGCTGGGACAGCATTGAGTTTTACGTTCTCTAAAACTGTTTCTTCAGATCTGCTATTAAGGCTGACTGGACTGCAGTCAGTGGCCAAGACTCCTCATACTTTATCTTACCTATTTAAGGTCAAAGAGGCACATTATAAGTGCTGAAAACAGGCACCAATAGGCTGGTCTGTGCCTCAAAGGAAATCTGATCCTGCATGAGAAGATACTGAGGATATAAATCCTAGACTTGGGGTTCCAAACCGAGTCCTCAAGTACCCCCTCCCCTACCAGTCCAGGATTTAGGTATTACCCTGTTGTGTCTAAGGTGTTTTTTGTTTTTTTCCCCAAATACACCTTAGACCCTATTGATTAATCTTTAAATCCTGGACTGTTAGGGGGTACTTGAGGACTAGGTTGGGAACCACTGTCCTAGACTAATAGAGATTAGTGAGGAGAGATAAAACAGGATAGGTGATGGATACTTTATTTTCAATTTGTTGTTTATTGAAAGCAGTTAATGAATATAATGGTGGTAAAGAAAAAAGAGAAGGGAGGGGGAGATAAGACATTTATGTTTTAGTGTTTATGACAATCAGTAATAAAGTACATATATGGTAAACCGCATCATACGTTAATAACTTTGTTCATTTAAAGCATACATTTTATTACAGTTATTACAACCTGTGTGGTGATGCAACAGGTTATGAGAATCTGGTATGAATCATCGAGGGTCTTTGCACTCTTTGGCCTGTTGTACTTTGTTTAGAACTGTCCCTTATTTTGCCTAAGCTCATTGAAGATCCTATCTTTGCCTAGATAGGCAGCTAAATTTAGTTTACAGTGTATCACATAAACAGCTGCTCATGAAAAATACAAATAAATAAGGGGGTGGAGAGTAGGAACCTAGGGAGGATTTGAACCGTAAATAGGGTAAAACAGAAAACATGTTGGGTTCAGGAAGTCTGACATATGGAGTGTATAATGGGTAGTGCCACCCTAATGTACATCAAGTAGGATATAGTTACACCTTGTAGGTCTCAGTTGCACAGGGTAGCTATCCCATACCCGTTTACTATTTTTGTAGTCTGTAGAGTGGAGTGAGAAGTTGTATATGCCTTGATGTAGTTGTATATATAGGCATATATATATATATATATATATATATATGTATATATATATATTCCCTTTAAGAACTTTAATTCTGAGGCTTTGGATGGAGTGACCAGTCTGAGTGAAGTGATGACCAACAGTGGCAGGTAAGAGAACATTAATGAGTTTGGTAAGTCATAGTTCGTTTGCAGCTCCGGGAGTGATTATTGGCCATCACTTCACCCAGACTGGTCACTCCATCCAAAACCTCAGGATTAAAGTTCTTAAATGAAATTTCAAGGACTCTAATGAATGAAAGACATATGAGATGAAAATGATCACACATTTTATCACCAGAAATGAAGGACTTAATGTAGATTCTGGCTTTTTCACACACTACCAAAACTTTATATAAACACACATCTTAATGTCTTATATGGTTCATTTTCAACATTCTCGCTTCACCTTTATTGGATCAATTTACATACATACATACATATATGCAGCTATTTACGTGCATGTCCTACTCTGCTGTTTTCTTGTTTAGTTTTTTGTGTTTTTTTTTTCTTTTTAACTAGCTTATTGACTCTCCTATGTTTATTTACTTTTTCTGGCTATTCTCAGCTAACCTGCACCTTTCACTTTTAGGCACATCTTCTGCTATTTGTGACACCCCACACCCCCCCTCCCTCCCCTTCTCTAACATCAGTTGTTTTAAGTGTTAAACTCTATCAGATTGATCAGTATTGCTTCAGACATGAAATGGAGAGGAACATTCTTGAAAGCTTGTCTTTGAAATATTATGTTAGTCCAATAAAAAAAGGTATCATTGCATACTGCAATAGACTGGTATTTGGGCATCTTGTCTACTGGACTAATACAGCTAATCCAATCTACATTATATATATATATATATATATATATATATATATATATATATACAAAAATAGAAAAGTAGGGGCTGCACTCACGGTCTTGGTATCAAAGTAGAAAAATTAATTTTATTCCATGTGTCACAAACGACGTTTCGGTCCGCACAGGGACCTTCCTCAGGATAAAGTGAAGCACAAATACAAGTGACAACTGTAACATATATATACACATACTAATAAATAGGTAATGACTTACCCAGGTGAAATTCATATCGCCCGGCGTTCCCAAACTTAACCGCGCATGTGCAAGCCCTCTGTGAACCCGCATTAACAGTAGGTCATTAGTCTTTATGGCCCCCACCCGCCGCCCAGGGGTGGGGGCCGGAGGGGGGGTGGACAGTAGGTCCCCCCCCTCATTATCAATATGGCCCCCACCCGCCACGCAGGGGTGGGGGCCGGGGGTGGGCAGTAGGCCCCCCCTCATTATCAATATGGCCCCCACCCGTCACGCAGGGATGGGGGCGGGGGGGGCAGTAGGTCCCCCCCTCATTATCAATATGGCCACCACCCGCCGCGCAGGGGTGGGGGCCGGGGGGGGCAGTAGGTCCCCCCTCATTATCAATATGGCCCCCACCCGCCGCGCAGGGGTGGGGGCCAAGGGGGGGCAGTAGGTCCCCCCCTCATTATCATTATGGCCCCCACCCGCCGCCCAGGGGTGGGGGCCGGGGGGGAGGAGAGTAGGTCTCCCCCCCCTTCAACCAATATGAGTCCCTGTGGGTTTTAAAATTCGCCTGCCCATTGAAGTCTATGGCGGTTCGCCCGGTTCGCGGGTTCGCGAACATTTGCCGAAGTTCGCGTTCACCGTTCGTGAACCGAAAATTCACGTTCGCGACATCACTAGAGGTGATAGAAGCAAGATGTTGTTGAATAAAGAAACCTTTTGGATATTTAAACTGGATACAGTTTCACCCAGAGGACTAAATGAGATACTGACGTATCACTCCTTTATTTAATATGTTTCTTTTTCCTTTTTCTATTTTTTGAATAAGGAAGCTCTTGTTCTATTTATCCTGCTGGCAATTAGGAATGTTTTTGGAAGGTATTCACATATCTTTGAGGTCTCAGTAGGTATACCCATTGTAGATTTAAGGGTGAATTAATAATAAATAATAACTAAAGAAATTAAATTGCAAATTAAACTATATAACTAAAATAATTAATAAATAATTAATAATGAATAAGAGCTTATAGTGACAGTATATCCTAAAGCCATTCACTTAATTTTAGGTTTAGAAAAGTTTAAATAGTTTAAGAAGTTTGAAAATTTAATTTTTTTTATTTTTTTATTTATTTTTTAAGACCTTAAAAATTAACACCTTCTGATCCTATATGGAGATGTGCATACTGACCTTTAGATATTCTGATATATTTGATTTCAATTTTTAATTTTTAGTTCTTTCTATGTTCAGCATAACAGACCATATATATATACCCAAGACATGGGAGAAAAAATGTATATTTAAAATCTCCTCATTAATAGGTTGGTTCCTCTATTGCAAATAAACTTAGCTTAGAGGATACACATAAAATTAATAACCTATTTCATGGATTGTCTAATTATCCATTGTAAGTCTTGGAAATTGATATGGACTTTCGTGCTTAGAAGATATAAGATACTACTTAAGTAGCATAAAAGATTTGATACAGCTATATTTAGCTTAGTATCAATTGAAGCAGGTAGTATCTTAAAATTATTAAAATTATTGAAATTAATCTTCTTCAAGATGTTTCTTAGTACCTAGCCTATGGGTGGTCTGTTTGCTGATTTATAGATTGTTATACTATAGATTCACATTGGTAAGTCTAAGTAGGCACATTAATTTCCACAATTATTATTATTATTATTTATTTATAATTTGTTTAGCTCTTTTTCTTCCATTTTATTGTTTATTTTTTATCATTGATCGTAACACGATCAAATCCGGCGTATAGCTGTGCGGGTATGCAACACGGTGTCTATGGTGATGGCGTCGCGTTGCCTTGACGACGACGCATGGTGACGTCATCACGCAGGTGGACGCGGGTTAATGCGGGTTCACAGAGGGCTTGCACATGCGCGGTTAAGTTTGGGGAACGCCGGGCGATATAAATTTCACCTGGGTAAGTCATTACCTATTTATTAGTATGTGTATATATATGTTACAGTTGTCACTTGTATTTGTGCTTCACTTTATCCTGAGGAAGGTCCCTGTGCGGACCGAAACGTCGTTTGTGACACATGGAATAAAATTAATTTTTCTACTTTGATACCAAGACCGTGAGTGCAGCCCCTACTTTTCTATTTTTGTATATACTATTTAATCCCTAAAGGCACCGGCACCCGGCAACTGTACTGTTTAAACTTAAGTACAAGACTTTAAAAGCGTGAGTGCAAGGATATTGCTTATGTATATATATATATATATATATATATATATATATATATTTGTGTACGGGATTATGAAAGGGGGCGTACACTTAAAATGGTGAGTTATATTTTGAAAATGAGAGTCGGTTGAGGTGTGCCGAAACCGACGAGAGGTTAGGCCTGTAAAAAAAGAGGGCCCACCCTGAATTATTGATATTAAAAGAGGGTGTGGTGGGAGGGGATTTCCGGAATCGAGGAAGACAGGTAAGCTTGGGTTCCTTGGGTTTAAATAGGCCTAAATCCCTCCCACAACTACAGGCATACGCCTTCTATTTGTGTACGGGATTATGAAAGGGGGCGTACACTTAAAATGGAGAGTTATATTTTGAAAATGAGAGTCGGTTGAGGTGTGCCGAAACCGACGAGAGGTTAGGCCTGTAAAAAAAGAGGGCCCACCCTGAATTATTGATATTAAAAGAGGGTGTGGTGGGAGGGGATTTCCGGAATCGAGGAAGACAGGTAAGCTTGGGTTCCTTGGGTTTAAATAGGCCTAAATCCCTCCCACAACTACAGGCATACGCCTTCTATTTGTGTACGGGATTATGAAAGGGGGCGTACACTTAAAATGGTGAGTTATATTTTGAAAATGAGAGTCGGTTGAGATGTGCCGAAACCGACGAGAGGTTAGGCCTGTAAAAAAAGAGGGCAAAAAGTAAGTAAACATCATTTATTACAACATCATTATTTAGACATATTACAAAATGCGAGTCTGATCTCTTTCTCCGAGTTTGGAATGTACTGGTTATACACGGAGGATTTCCAACGGCCCATTTTCTTTATAATATGTGTTGGTACTTGACTACTTGAGGCTGCTGTGGCTGCTCCGATGCGGAATGAGTGTCCCGTGAAGGAATTAGGATTGAGGCCTAGTCTAAGGAGCAAAGCGCGGATGTATAGCATGAATTGTTTAGTGGTGAGGGGCTTACCTTGTAGGGCCAACAGAGGCAAATCTGGACTTTTAATTTGTTGATTCAGTATGAAATTATCCAGCACTTGTACTGGGCACCATATGGAACCGGAAGGAAAGTATTTAACGTCTACTGGGGGGCCTGATTGGTTAGTTTTTGTGCGGGGAATTGATAGTATGAAATTATCATTTACTTTAGTTAAGTTTCCTTGTTTGAGACAATTTTTCGTGTCGGATATTTTTTCCACTGAAAATTCTTTAGGTCTGAGGAACCCAAAAAAAGGCTAGATACGCTGCTGCCTTAATTACTTGGTTAGTGTTATTTTCAAAAGGATTTTTATCTAATAGATTGGAGATTTCTTTAAAGATGTTACTGTCTATGGGGAGTCTTTTTAGGGCTTTATGTGACTTTTGCCTCTGGATACCTTTTAGTATACTTTTTATGGGGTATGTGGACAAGAAAGGGGACTTGTTCGGGTAAAGTATTAGCATGAAATGTTGTACTCCTGTTAAGTAAAGTTTGACGGTATTGTAGGCTAGTTTTAATGAGAGGTGGCAAAAAGTTGAAAAAGCAACCATAGTTTCTACAGAAAAACAGTTTATTATATTAAAATCTCGTACAAACTTTTTGAACAGGTCAAATGCCCTATCGTAAGCTTTTTTTGTGTTTTCCGATAAGGCTGCCTGTGCAAGAATTCTACTGTGTTTTAGCAACTGATTTAGAGCATGATTAGGTCTTTGAATTGTGGGGGATTTATGGATTGTTTGTTTGCTGTAGGGTGTAGTTTGAAAAATTCCTGCAAATTAAAACGAGACAAAGCATCAGCTGCGTTATTTAAGACACCGGGAACATGGATACAATGCATATAGAACTGTAAATTTGCAGCCAACCATGTAAGTTTTCTTACAAGACTCATGATTGGCAGGGACTGAGAACGGCCTTTGTTAATTATGTCGCATGCTGCTTGGTTGTCAGAGTAACATTTCACTGCTTTCCCCCTCCAACAATTTCCCCAGATGAGAGCTGCTGCCACTATTGGGAAAATTTCGAAAAAAGCAGAGGTTTTGTCAAATTTTTCTAGGGTAACTGTTTCGGGTGGCCAACTGTCGTACACCCATTCGTCCTCAAATATTGCAGCATACCCGACGGTAGCCGCTGCGTCTGTCCAGATAACCGGGGACTCATCTGATATGGGGGGAATAAATAGTGACCAACCGTTCCATGTTGTTAAAAATAGTTCCCACATTTTTAGGTCGGCCCTTGCAGGATTGTCTAGATTTATTCTAGTGTCGTCGTCAGGGAGGCCGTGTAGGAGAGACAGAAGCCTAGAGATGAAAGACCTGCCTTGAGGGACAATTCTCATGGCAAAGTTAAGAGACCCCAAAAGTGACTGCAACTCTTTCCTGGTACAAGACCCTTGGTTGGTGCAGTTGTGAATGTTAGTAAGAATTCTGTCTACTTTCGTTTGAGGGAGGCTAGCTTGCATAGTTGCGGAATTAAGAGTGATGCCTAAGAAAGTTATTTCTGTACTAGGACCCTCTGTTTTGTTTGGAGCTATCGGGACTCCTAAGTCATTAAATAGGGATAGTGCATTTCTTAGACTATGAGGTGTGTAGTAGTTAGGCTCGATATATAAAAAATCATCTAGGTAGTGAATTACTACTGGGCACCTGGATTTGTTTAGTAGTAGCCAATTCAAGGTTTCAGCGAATATATCGAAGATTTTTGGGCTACTTTTGGAGCCGAAGGTCAGCCTGGTTGCAAAATAGTATTTCCCTTCCCACTTCACACCATGTAGATGCCAGAGTGACTGCTTAATTGGAAGGAGTTTGAAAGCGTTTGAAATATCTGTCTTGCTCAACCAGGCCGCCTCGCCCATGTTGACGATAGCATGTATGGCATCGTCTATTTTTGCATATTGCAGTGAAAAGTCTTCTGAAGGTATGAGAGAATTTAAGCTTGGGGATGTGGAAGTGTGAGGTGCTGAAAAATCGATTATTAACCTCTTTTTATTGTTAAACTTGCCCGTGGCTATGCCAAGTGGACTTGTCCTCCAGGAGGTGAAGGGTGGAGTATTAAAGGGACCTATCATAAAACCCAATTCAATTTCTTTGTTGAGCAGATCCGTTAAACTGACTGGGTCTGTAATAGCTGATTGTAGGTTGGGGCATTCTAGTATGCCTGACGGGAGTGCTACCAAACCTGTGTGAAAGCCTGTCGTGAAACCTGATACCAGAAAGTTCGCCAAGTGAGAAGAAGGATGTTCAGTCAAGTAACGTTGTAAATTAGTTACGTTTATTGGGGTCATTGCTTTCTTAGGGAACAGTTTGTTAGGACACATGGTTTTTGCATGTGCTCTGAAGCAGATTGAGCAAACATGAAGTAATCTACAGGCGCTGTAACTACATCCTCCTGCGTTAAAGTTGTTACAAACTTGAGCTTTCCCGAGAAATACTATAGGTCTCCCTAGCTTATCTTTCATTTCCCTTTGAATAGGGAAATAGTCTGGACTGGTATTGCTATTAGACGGGCCACCTATATTACTAGGACAAAAGTTTGCAGTATGAGATGCTGATGCACATATTGCACATGCTGGTGATTTAAGCCCTGCAAAATGTCTACAGAATAATTCTGTATCTAATTGACTCCAATCGATGGGAGTGTTGAATTGGGCCAATGATGCGGCTGACTTAGCAGAAAAGAACTTATGGTAGTCGTAGAACGCGTAACCTCCGTATTTATAAGCTAATTCCACCAGTTTGTGCAGATATAGATCCAGCTCTTCTCTACGGTGTGGGAAGGCAGTGCAAATTATGTCTCTATATAAGCCAAAAGCTAGCACAAACTCAGGAATATTTAGTTTTTTATTGAGCCTAGGATCTCTAGCTTTCATTACCACAGATATATCGTCGAAAGTATAAGCTCTGTTTTCGATTATATCCTGTGAGGCAATGAGGAGAGAAGCTAGATTAACATCTTTCCCTTCTAATATATCTCTTTTTAAATTTTGTGGTATCAAATGTACTGGGTTAATTATATTAGAAGTTTTAGCAGGAAATGGATTGGCGTTAACTCCTGAGCTCGACTCTGGTTGTCCTAGTGGGATTTGTACTTCCGGAATGTTAGCTTGACTAGTGGCTTCCAGGTTATCTAATCTGTTATTTATGGTAGCAACTGAAGCCACCAGGGAGGTCATCATATTTCGTAATTCTGTCAAGCTATTTTGGATCAATGAATCGGAACTAGGGCCTGGTAACTCATCAATGTTTTGAGAGTTTAATAAGCGGAAAAGTTCAGCTTTTCTGGCTGTAGCCGGAAAGGGAATGTTTCTCTTATTCAGTTCGGCTGTGACTTTTGGGACAGTCCAGGATCTGTAGTTGGACATCGTACTGGACTGTCTTTGCTGAGTGCCAGGTCTGGAGGGAGTGCTGGCAAGTGATAGGTCTTCTTCTTGAACTGAATCGTTAGACATGCTATGGGCGTGAACGGAGACGTTATGTTAGGAAAAAAAAAATATTTTTTTATTTTTTATTTTTTTTATTTATTTTTTTTTGCGAGTGTGAGCGAGTGTGCTGGCTGGCTAGCTAGTGCCGCTCTGCGGCGAAGCAATTATACTAGGTTGGTGACTGGTGAGGCCCTACTAAGTGCCAAGCGGCTTGAGAGGCTCTATCTATGAGTTGGCGCGAGGGAATTTCGTGGCCACCGAACGTTGTGGCGGGGTGTTGGCCTCTCGGTGAGTAGTAATCATAAGACAGAATGGGAGTGACAGGTGAGGCCCTCTCTATGTCACGTGTGAGGCGGCTACCTATGGATTGGCCCGAGGGACGTAGTACCTCTGAACTGAGGATGGGTGTTGGCCTCGCGTGACCACTATTTTACGGCAAGAGAGCCGGGGTGAGATTTAACGCTATTGGGTACCTATGACCTTAACAGCCAGCCACCTAAACTACGAGGGACGATACGTACGTAAATAAAACAAAAAAAAACGTTTGTTATCCTTACCTGTATGCGAACTTGCCACGCACTAAAGAGTTTGTTTGGTCAGGTGGTATTTTTACCCAAGCTGTATCTCCTATTGCAAAAAGGATGGGAGGAGTAATAGAGTAAAATAAGTGAAATTCGTTAGCAGACTTTATTATTATATATTTTTTTTTTTACACTAACCGGAACCGTGAACGTGTAGACCTACGTAAATTGGTAGTACAACTGTCGAAAATGAATACCTAGAAAGGAAAGAAATGAACAGCGTACGTGACACGAATTCATAGAAAGGTGACCAGAGAAGCAACAACCCTGATGTGGTACGAGCGTCAGCTACTGCATAGACTCTATGTGAACTAATTTAGTATTGCTGTCAGACGACTAGTTAATAGTTATTGACAAAATAAACAACTAAGTAATCTTCTGAGGACTGTGAAACAATACATGTGAACAGTTGTAATAAATGCTTGATGCAAAATTATTTATTTATGTAAATTGTAAATGTAAAGTTCCTTGCCCTGTTATGAGTACATTTCTTTGCCCAGGACATCAGATGAAAAATTAATTTAACTCAACGAACGCGAAGAAAATTAAATAATGAAAGCTTGTGAAGAAGAAAAATAAATTTTTAGACATGAAATTCGTATGCTGTATTTAACGAATATGTTGCTTTAAGAAATGTGCTACAGGACGAATGGCAAACCCCCCTGTCGAATTTCCATGCGAAAGAGTTATTATTAGTGATTTGAACGAGCAAGAGAGAATGGACTTACAGTTTGTGGGAACTGCTGAATGGAGCCGTTCGTGTGAAAGAACTCACTGGGCTGGCGTTGTGAGTTCCTGAGCGTTCTTCCGAGCGTCACGGGAAAATGACGTCAGAGGTCTGCGTTTACCGGAAGCGAGGAGAAGATTTCCGGAATCGACGAAGACAGGTAAGCTTGGGTTCCTTGGGTTTAAATAGGCCTAAATCCCTCCCACAACTACAGGCATACGCCTTCTATATATACATATATATATATATATATATATATATATATATATAGAAACATAGAATGTGACGGCAGATAAGAACCATTCGGCCCATCTAGTCTGCCCAATTTTCTAAATACTTTCATTAGTCCCTAGTTAGGATAGCCTTATATCTATCCCACGCATGCTTAAACTCCTTTACTGTGTTAACCTCTACCACTTCAGCTGCAAGGCTATTCCATGCATTCACTACCCTCTCAGTAAAATAATACTTCCTGATATTATTTTTAAACCTTTGTCCCCTAATTTAAGACTATGTCCTCTTGTTGTGGTAGTTTTTCTTCTTTTAAATATAGTCTCCTCCTTTACTGTGTTGATTCCTTTTATGTATTTAAATGTTTCTATCATATCGCCCCTGTCTCGTCTTTCCTCCAAGCTATACATGTTAAGATCCTTTAACCTTTCCTGGTAAGTTTTATCCCGCAATCCATGAACCAGTTTAGTAGCCCTTCTCTGAACCCTCTCTAAGGTATCAATATCCTTCTGAAGATACGGTCTCCAGTACTGTGTATAATACTCCAAGTGAGGTCTCACCAGTGTTCTGTACAATGGCATGAGCACTTCCCTCTTTCTACTGCTAATACCTCTCCCTATACAACCAAGCATTATGCTAGCATTTCCTGCTGCTCTATTACATTGTCTGCCTACCTTTAAGTCATCAGAAATAATCACCCCTAAATCCCATTCCTCAGATGTTGAGGTTAGGACTCTATCAAATATTCTGTACTCTGCCCTTGGGTTTTTACGTCCAAGATGCATTATCTTGCACTTATCCACATTAAATGTCAGTTGCCACAATTCTGACCATTTTTCTAGTTTACCTAAATCATTTGCCATTTGGCTTATCCCTCCTGGAACATCAACCATGTTACATATCTTAGTATCATCAGCAAAAAGACATACCTTACCATCAAGACCTTCTGCAATATCACTAATAAAAATATTAAAGAGAATGGGTCCAAGTACAGATCCCTGAGGTACCCCACTGGTGACAAGTCCAAGCTTCGAATATATTCCATTAACTACAACCCTCTGTTGCCTGTCACTCAGCCACTGCCTTACCCATTCAACAATATTGGAATCCAAACTTAAAGATTGCAGTTTATTGATAAGCCTTCTATGTGCAACAGTGTCAAAAGCCTTACTGAAATCTAGGTAAGCAATGTCTACTGCACCACCCTGATCTATAATTTTAGTTACCCAATCAAAAAAGATTAGTTTGGCATGATCTCCCTGAAGTAAACCCATGTTGTCTCTGATCTTGAAATCCATGTGTTTTTAGATGTTCAACAATCCTATCCTTTAACATGGTTTCCATCACTTTCCCCACTACTGAAGTAAGGCTCACTGGCCTATAGTTGCCCGACTCCTCCCTATTACTTTTCTTGTAAATGGGCACAACATTCGCTAACTTCCAATCTTCTGGGACTACTCCTGTTAACAATGATTGGTTAAATAAATCTGTTAATGGTTTTGCTAGTACACCACTAAGCTCTTTTAATAGCTTTCGGTGTATTCCATCAGATCCCATTGACTTATTTGTCTTTACGTTTGACAGTTGAAATAGAACCTCTTCCTCTGTAAACTCACGTGTAATAAATGACTCATTTATCCTTTTTCTTAACTGAGGTCCCGTTCCTTCATTTTCATCTGTAAATACAGAACAAAAATATTCATTAAGGCAGTCAGCTAGACCTTTATCCTCTTCTACATACCTCCTTTCTTTTGTTTTTAATCTAACTAATCCTTGTTTTACTTTTCTTTTCTCATTTATGTATAAAATGTTTTGTCCCCCTTTTTTACTGACTTTTTTGCTTTTACTAACAAGCCTAATGCAATTTTCTGTTGCCTTCAATAGTGCAACTTTTAAATAATCCCATTTCTCTTGTCCTTCATTTAAATTGCTCCAGCCTGATAATGTCTCCCCTACACATATTCTAATTTTAGAAAAGTCTGTTTTTCTAAAGTCTAAAACTTTTTGTTTTTGTGTGGTGTGACTCAGTCACTGTTCTTATATTAAACCACACTGACTGATGATCACTGGATCCTAAACTTTCGCCTACACTAATATCCGATACCAAATCTCCATTTGTTAACACTAAATCTAGTATGGCCTCTTTACGAATTGGCTCCTCAACAACTTGTTTTAAAGACAATCCCAGTAGGGAGTTTAGAATATGTGTGCTCCTGGCACAAGTAGCTAATTTTGTTTTCCAATTTACATCAGGAAGATTAAAGTCACCCATGATAACTTCCCCCTTCATTGTCATTTTAGCTATTTCCTCAACTAGTAGATTATCTAACTCTTCAATTTGTCCTGGGGGCCTATAAATCACACCTACACGAGTTACTGTGTGATTACCAAATTCTAACGTAACCCAAACGGACTCTATGTTTGCCTCACTAACTATTATTAGGTTAGATTTTATGCTATCCTTCACATACAGGGCCAACCCTCCCCCTTTCTTGCCTTCCCTATCTTTTCTATATAAAGAGTACCCTGGTATTGCTATGTCCCAGTCATTTTTCTCATTATACCATGTCTCAGTAACAGCGACTAACTCTACACAATCAGTTGCCATTCTTGCCACAAGTTCATGGATCTTATTCCCTAAACTGCGAGCATTTGTAGACATGACTCTAAGCTTATCATTTTTTAACACACTTGCTACAGGCACCTTCTGTCCTTGCTTTGGGGGACAATTGGATTGATGTTTTATCACCCTTTTGCCCCCCCCTCCTAGTTTAAATACATCCTAGCAAAACCTCTGAACTGCTCACTGAGAACATTTGTTCCCTTTTGAGAAAGATGCAAACCATCTTTTTTGTACAGCTTATTTCCATTCCAAACAGAGCTACCATGAGAAATAAAGCCAAATCCTTGCTCCTGACACCATTCACCAAGCCACAAATTAAAGTCCCTAATACGCATGCGCCTGTCGTTCTGAGTGTTATGCACAGGCAGAACTTCAGAGAATGACAGTGTGGAAGCAACCTCCTGTATATCATTGGCAAAAACACTAAAAACTTCCTTAACCTCTAAAACCTTATTGCAAGCCAAGTCATTTGTCCCTAGATGGACAAGTACATCCAATTCCCCTTCCTGCTTTGCTTGCTTAACAATATTACAGATACGTCTCTTGTCTCTGTGAGCAGTAGCTCTGGGAAGACACCTCACAAGACCAGCATTGTCCATCTCCACACCTCTTATGATGGAATCCCCCAACAACAACTGCTTTCTATTAGGCCTCACCATAGTCTCCAAGCCGGTCTCCACAAAACCACTAGTCTCAGTGCCTCTCTCCACAACACCACTAGCCTCAGTGCCTTTCTCCACAACACCATTACACTCTGAAAGTGCAGAAAATGAATTATGTAGAGCAACAGACTGTGCAAAATGCCTTTTATCCACAACTCTAAGTCTTCCAGATCCTACAGTAATCCATCTGCCATTCCTAGTATGTCTCTGCGGCAGTGGCTTTGCAGCAGTTCCAGTCTGAGTTTGTTCACCAGATAATTTACAAATCTCAGACTTCAAAAATACAATCTCCTGCTGCAAGATAGAGAACTGTCTACAGATTAGACAACAACCAAACCTCCAAAAAGTGGAACGTGAAACAAATGCATAGCAACTATTGCACTGAACTAAGTCTGCCATTCCAATGAGGAGAATAATTTAAATCAAACAAATCTTAATTTTTTATTTATACTCATGAATACCTCAGATTACCTCCAGGTTATCTCCAGAATATCTCCAACTACACACTTAGAAGCCACACTCTCCAGAATATCTCCAACTACACACTTAGAAGCCACACTCTCCAGAATATCTCCAACTACACACTTAGAAGCAACACTCTCCAGAATATCTCCAACTACACACTTAGAAGCAACACTTAGATGAAGCAACCAAGCTATATTAGCCAAGCTAATGACAACAACCCTTATATAACTCCTAAAATCACCACCCACTAGGAATGTTTAACACCTGGGAGGCCTCTGCTCATCTGCAAACAATAGCTAATTTAAACAGCAATCAATAGCAAGTAACTAACTAATCAAATCAAATGCCTTATAATTACCAACAGGAATTCAAACCTTGTGCAATCAGTAACCTTTTCCTACAGATGAATCTTACCTGTAACAGTAGAAAAGAAAACTCTTAGCACAACTCTTAGACAGTTGAAGCTTCTGTAAAACTTTCCAGAATATCTCCAACTACACACTTAGAAGCAACACTTAGATGAAGCAACCAAGCTATATATATATATATATATATATATATATATATATAGATAGTTCAAAGTATGGTCCGCACTCCAGGCTCCTTATAAAAAAATAACTTTTATTCTTACATCAAAGTTAAAAATTGTATGCCAAAAGTCAACGTTTCAGTCCCAGCTCGGGACTTTCATCAGGACAGCATAAACCTACATCTAAATACCGTAACATATATACAAGTACTAAAAATTTTAACTTACCCCAGGTGAGGTGCCGCCCGCGTCTAACAGTGCACTGTGCGCATGTGCAAAACCACCCCTGTTCGTACCGTATACCAAAAAGTGTAACCATGTGATGCTCATTATGCTTGTTGCCTGGGAGACGCCAGCTAGGTACTTCCTGGTGTCCGCCCCCTGGGTTGCGCTCGCAACTCACTTTTGGGTGCGTTGTATCCCGGCGTTTCCTGGGCAACCTAATGCAACTACTAAGAAGAAAGGAAAACAACTTTTACTAAAACCACGAAGGGTGTAGTACCATGTGGGCACTGAACTACAGTACCACTATCTGTAAAATCAGAGTGCTTAAATTAGTGGATCTTAGTGACTTAAACCCTGAAAGTGCCGTGATAAAAGTGGAAAGATGCCATGTCAGGCATATACTGAATACCAGGTCCATAGCCAAGAGGACCCCATTATAACTACACATTAATACAGGTGTAAATTTACCATATAACCCAGGAAAGTGTGCCATAGAACCATGAAAAAGAAGACTTATGTACACAACAAATAATAAAATAACTTCATACATAGTATAAAGCTGAAAAACAATTCATATTATTAAGGAGGCAAATATGTATCACATCTAAATAGGATTAGCATATGGGAAAAAAACTTGCTGGGACCCTAGTTTCTCCTGTATCCATCTATCATATTGTGTATACTTAAACTATTGACCCAGAGGGGCCAAATTATGTGATCCAAATGCAGATTAATTACCATAACCACAACCTAAGAATAAACTGGGGTATCCACAAGGTCCATGCCCTATGAATATTCCATGCTATATGGTTTTATCAAAACATATTTAAAGTACCATGTAGCCCTAAAGATAAAAGGGGTCACAGGGGCAAAGAATCCCTATGAAAACTACCCAGGAAGATTACACATAACCATTGACGTACGGTAAACATAGATGTCCACAATAATTTGTGAAAATTAATCAAGTAATTAATATCAAAGTATGTGTAAAAGAATAAAAAGTGCATTCAGTGTGTAAGAAATATATCAATTATAATATCAAGGTGACACCGGCAGGTCTTAACGAAAAACTCTCATAGAGTTCATTTTTGTAAATATCTTTATGCACACTTGCTGGTTTGGCCCTAGGATATATTTCTTGGTCGGTACTCTCCAATAGGGGTTAAGGTCTCTGTACATACTTGTTGGAATGTCTCCAGCTATTACTTAACTGGGGTTTAGATAATGAGCCTTAATGTATAGCCCTATGCGCTGACTGGTTATAGAATGTTTTGAATATGGAGGTCGAATAAGATTGTTTTTCCCTTATGCCTAGATTTTACTTTAGGGGTCGAGTTGGCCGCCTCATGTTGGTCTATTTGGATTACTTTGTATATATCTATATGGGTTCTATGTTAATATTCTTCTACATGTTAGGCTATATTAGGGTGTAGTTTTTTTTTCTAATTGGGTCTGTAGCAGGACTTGTGTTCCATACGGTACAATCAAATACATTTAAGAATTAGGATGCACTTTATTGTATATATTTGCACACCATAATAATTGTTTTTCAGCACTTTTATGTACATAATTGCACTCAGTCACTTTTTGGTATCACTTTAGCTGGCACATACAGCGACACGGCTATTAGTATCAAAATCGGATGGTTACTAATTACTTTAACCTTGATATTATAATTGATATATTTCTTAGACACTGCATGCACTTTTTATTCTTTTACACATACTTTGATACTCCATCACTTGATTAATTTTCACAAATTATTGTGGACGTCTATGTTTACCGTATGTCAATGGTTACGTGTAATCTAGCTGGGTAGTTTTCATAGGGATTCTTTGACCCTGTGACCCCTTTTATCTTTAGGGGTACATGGTACATTAAATATGTTTTGATAGAACCATATAGCATGGAATATTCATAGGGCATGGACCTTGTGGATACCCCAGTTAATTCTTAGGTTGTGGTTATGGTAATGAATCTGCATTTGGATCATATACTTTGGCCCCTCTGGGACAATAGTTTAAGTATACACAATATGATAGATGGATACAGGAGAAACTAGGGTAACAGCAAGTTTTTTTCTCATATGCTAATCATATTTAGATGTGATACATATTTGCCTCATTAATAATATGAATTGTTTTTCAGCTTTATACTATGTGTGAAGTTATTTTATTATTTGTTGTGTATATAAGTCTTCTTTTTTATGGTTCTCTGGCACACTTTCATGGGTTATATGGTAAATGTACCTGTATTAATGTGTAGTTATAATGGGGTCCTCTTGGCTATGGACCTGGTATTCAGTATATGCCTGGCATGGCATCTTTCCACTTTTATCACAGCACTTTCAGGGTTTAAGTCACTAAGATCCACTATATTAAGCACTCTGATTTTACAGATAGAGGTACTGTAGTTCAGTATCCAAGTGGTACTACACTCTTCGTGGTTTTAGTAAAAGTTGTTTTCCTTTCTTCTTAGTTGTATTAGGTTGCCATGGAAACGCCGGGATACAACGCACCCGGAAGTGAGTTGCGAGTGCAACCCAGGGGGCGGACACCAGGAAGTAACTAGCCAGCGTCTCCCTGGCAACGAGCATAACGAGCATCACATGGTTACACTTTTCCTTCCACCTACAGCTGGAAGCAAAAGGCCCTATGCATGTCTGAGTTTCTGCAAGGTAGACTATGGAGGAAACTATCTACCCTTAATACTGGACACTATAATTGTATTGAATTTTAACCCCTTGCATATTTTTAAACTATATATCTCTAACCACCATTTCTTTGTCATTGTATCTTAACTGGACGTGCTTGCTCTTTAGTGTGTATATATATATATATATATATATATATATATATATATATATATATATATATATGTATGTGTGTGTGTATATATATATATATATATATATATATATATGTGTGTGTGTGTGTTTGCTCATACACACATATATTCTGCAGTTTGTCTTGTCCTGCATGCTAAAGCTAGTTGCTCCCTGCCCTGCTCAACATTGGTTTTGTTAACTTAAATGTTATTCAACATCCTGCTTATCTCTAAAGATTTTCTCTGTTATTTCTTCTCCCCCCCCCCTTATTTTATTGATACCCACCCGAATGTCTTGCTTGACCAATCCTCACCTCCTCTGTGCATCTCCATTCCATAGCTTTTATTGCAGTCCTGTTTTGACCCTATCATCTCTGTCTTCCACAGTCTGAGTTTTAAAAGACCACTTCTAGCAAACCTGAACAGTGCTCAGATTCCCGCCCACCCCTCCCCTCACCACCCCACCCCAAGTTCCTTACTACATTTATAGATAGAATCCCACACACAACTTTAGATAATTCCAAATAGCAGCTGCAAACACTACCCGTAATGAGCACAATCCACCTTCTTAACCCCTAACACTCACTCCTTCTCCTCCCTTATGCTCATTCTCCTTCCCTCTAATTACCTACCCATCAGAGCAATGCTCTATATTCTCCTCCTCTCCTTCTCTCTCATCTCCCTAAGGATCAAAATATCCCCTTCCACCCACTTCCCTCAACAAAACACTAACATTTACATTAATCACTCTCTGCTATACTCCCCCCTTCTCTCATCTCAAGCCCTGCACTAATTTCTCTATTCTCTCTCTCCTGCTCTAACCCAATCTCACCCTAGTCGCCGCCCATATAAAACCCATTCACACCTCCTGTCTCTCTCTCTCTCCTCCTACTTCTGGCAGCTGGTGACGTCTCTCCCATCCCAGGGCCCCTCACCTCATCTGCTCACACTAAAATAACCAGAAACCATGCAAACCTCCTCCAAATACCCTGCAGTCTATCCTCCTCTACCAAAATTCAGTGTGCACTCTGGAATGCTCGCTCCATTTGTAGTAATATCAAATCTACAGCTATACATAACCTCCTCATCTCTAACTCTCTCACAATACTGGCACTCACTGAGACCTGGCTATCTCCATCCGATACCGCTACTCCTGCTTCTTTATGTTTCGGTGGTCTACAGTTCTCCTATACTCCTAGACTTGACTGTAAAGGAGGTGGTGTAGGCATCCTTCTCTCCCCTCAATGTACCTTTCAACCTATCCTCCCTGCCCCTGCCCTATCCTTTACTTCCTTTGAAGTTCACACTTTTTAAGCCCACTCCTTTAAGAATTGCCATCATCTATCGACCCCCCACCCCGGTCACCCTAAACTATTCATTGAACACTTTTCCTCCTGGTTACCCCACTTTCTTTCCTCTAGCACTCCCTCTCTCATACTTGGGGACTTCAATATCCCTATCAACAAGCTCAATTGCCCTGATGCCTCTCGTTTGCTCTCTGTAACCTCCTCCTTTGGACTCACACAGATTTCTTCCTCAGCAACTCACACTGCAGGAAACACTCTTGACCTCATCTTCACCAATCTCTGTACCACCTCTGATCTCGCCACTGCTCCATTTCCTTTGTCTGACCACCATCTGCTAACATTTAACATCTGCATACCCCATACCAAAATCTCACCACCGTCCACTCTCCAACCTCGCAGAAACCTCAACTCTCTCGATCTCCAGCACTTCTCCACTAAACTCCAAACACTCCTTTTACCCATCTCAAATCACAACTGCCCTAACTCTGCAATCTCACTCTACAACTCCACTCTCTCCTCTCAACTTGACATCATGGCACCTCCTACAGTTAAACGCAGCAAGCGCCCCCAACTACAACCCTGGCACACCAAGCTGACCCGTTACCTCCAAAAATGTTCCAGAACTGCTGAACGCTGCTGGAGAAAGTCTCACTTTGCATCTGACTTTGTCCACTATAAATTTATGCTGCGCTCCTACAGCATGGCTCTTTCCTCTGCAAAAGTAAGCTACTTCAACACCCTCATAAGCACACTGTCCCACCAACCCAAACACCTGTTTCACACTTTTGATGCACTTCTTCGCCCTGTGACTCCCCCTCCTTCCACCACCTTGTCCGCCACAAACTTTGAATCTCATTTCACTGAGAAGATCTCTACAATCAGGAAAGAGATCTCTAATCTTTCTCCAAACAGTATCAATACACCACCCAACCCCACTCCCCCTGTCATCCTAAGCTCATTTGCACCTGCTACAGCACAAGAGGTTTCTGCTCTGCGCCTGTCCTCCCGCCCCACCACCTGCTCCCTTGATCCTATTCCCTCGCATCTCATCCGCACTTTGTCTCCCTCTCTTGCTCTTGCTCTTCCTCTCGCTAACATTTTCAATCTCTCCCTTTCCTCTGGCACATTTCCCTCTGCCTTCAAACATGCAACCGTAACCCCAATTCTGAAAAAGCCCAACCTTGATCCCAACTCCCCATCCAACTACCGCCCTATCTCACTACTGCCATTTGCCTCCAAGATCCTCAGAGAGTTGTCTACGCCAGATTGACAGACTTTCTTGAATCCAACTCTCTGCTTGACCCCCTTCAGTCTGGATTCCGCGCTGGTCACTCTGTCGAAACTGCTGTGACCAAAGTATCCAACGATTTAATTGCTGCTAAATCTCGCGGCCAATACTCTATCCTAATCCTCCTTGATCTTTCTGCCGCCTTTGACACTGTTGATCATCAACAGCTTCTTCACATTCTCCGTAACTTTGGTCTACGGGATTCTGCTCTCTCCTGGTGTTCCTCCTACCTCTCCCAGCGCTCCTTCAGTGTTTCTTTCTCTGGCTCTGCCTATTCTCCCCAACCCCTCCCTGTCGGCGTCCCGAAAGGTTCTGTCCTCGGCCCCCTACTGTTCTCTATCTATACTGCCTCCCTTGGTAAACTCATCAGCTCTTTTGGCGTCCAATACCATTTATATGCAGATGACACGCAAATCTACCTGTCTTCCCCTGATCTCTCTCCGCCCACCTTGACTCGTGTTTCTGACTGCCTCTCTGCTATTTCCAACTGGATGGCTGCTCACTTCCTTAAACTCAACCTGTCCAAAACAGAACTTCTAGTTTTTCCTCCCTCAAGTGCTGCTACTCCTGTGTCTGTCGCCATCCAAGTCAACGGCGCTACTATCACCTCTACCTCCCAGGCTCGCTGCCTAGGAGTTCTTTTTGATTCTGATCTCTCTTTTACTCCCCATGTTCAATCGATAGCCAAATCCTGTCGCTTCCAACTCAAGAACATAGCGCGCATCCGCCCATATCTAACGCCGGACGCGGCTAAGGTACTGGTTCATGCTGTTGTTCTCTCTCGCCTTGACTATTGCAATCCCCTTCTCACCGGTCTTACATGTTCCCAGCTTGCACCGCTGCAATCTATAATGAATACGGCTGCAAGGCTTATTTTCCTGTCCGGTCGCACCTCCCACGCCTCCACGCTCTGTCAGTCCCTGCATTGGCTTCCAGTTAGATATAGGGCCCAATTCAAAATTCTGGCGCTTGCTTACAAATCCCTACATAATGCTGCTCCAACATACCTATCCTCCCTCATACACAAGTATGTCCCGTCGAGACCCCTGCGCTCAGCCCAAGACCTACTCCTATCCTCTGCCCAGATCCCCACCTCTGATGCTCGCCTTCAAGACTTCTCCAGGGCTACACCTATTCTGTGGAACTCCCTTCCCTCCTCAATCAGACTTTCAGCCAGCCTCCATTCCTTCAAAAAATCTTTGAAAACTCACTTCTTCATTAAAGCGTATCAATTAAACTGTCAGCAGGTTTCTCATCCCCCACCCCATGACTCCGTTCCTTCACCTGTCAAAAATGACCTACCAAGCACTCAATAAACCCTTCTGTAACAAACTATTTAATTCCCCTACTTTAACCCTTTGTGTCACTATACCCCACTCCCTCTAGCATGTAAGCTCATCGAGCAGGGCCCTCAACCCCCTCTGTTCCTGTACGTCAGTGGTCTGATCTCAATTATGTGTCTGTTAGTCCACCCATTGTACAGCGCTACGGAATTTGTTGGCGCTATATAAATAATAAAATAATAATAATAATAATAATAATAATAATATGGCATGAATGGGGGTGGTTTTGCACATGTGCACAGTGAACTGTTAGACATGGGCGGCACCTCACCTGGGGTAAGTTAAAATATTTAGTACTTGTATATATGTTATGGTATTTAGATGTATGTTTATGCTGTCCTGATGAAAGTCCCTGTCACGACTGCTAGTGTGGTCCAACACGCAGAAACATGTAAACATATACATAGAAAAAGGAAGGAAAAATAAAAGGACAGAGCATAAACGGGTCCTTAGAATGGCCGGACTAATGCGCTAGAGATAGAGAATGGTCAAAGGGAAAGCCGAGGTCAGGGAAGCCAAAAATACTCAAATACCGTTTAAACAAGCCAAAGTCAGGGGAACCAGAAATCGGAATAACCAGGAAAAGCCAAGATCAGAATACCAGGAAATCAGAATCACAAGGATAAACGCACTCTCGGGAACCATGAACAGGAATCCACGACAGGGCAAGGAACTGGAGTGAATTAGGGATTTAAATATCCCTCTCTGGTCTCTGATTGGTCAGAGTGTGACGTCATGACGTCACGTACATGTCAAAATAATTTTGAGGGGCGGGGCTTGTGATGTGCGTGACCACCATCTTTGATTTGGGCGCACAGCCCAGAAGACGTGGACGAGCGGTTCCCGGCTCGCCAACGGGCAGGTAAGCTCGCTATATCGGCGAGGTCATGCCGGTCGGCCACGGATGCACCATGCGGCGGGCCTGAAACGTTGACTTTTGGCATACAATTTTTAACTTTGATGCAAGAATAAAAGTTATTTTTTTAAACGGAGCCTGGAGTGCGGACCATACTTTGAACTATCTGGATATTTATGACCTGGATCCAGCACCCAGCATGTAAGCCAATATATCATTAAAGCATGTAGTGCAAGGAACCTTGAGACATATATATATATATATATATATATACACACTGCTCAAAAAAATAAAGAGAACACAAAAATAACACTTCCTAGATCTGAATGAATTAAATATTCTTCTGAAATACTTTGTTCTTTACATAATTGAATGTACTGACAACAAAATCACACAAAAATTAAAAAATGGAAATCAAATTTTTTTAACCTATGGAAGTCTGGATTTGGAGTCACACTCAAAATTAAAGTGGAAAAACACACTACAGGCTGACCCAACTTTGATGTAATGTCCTTAAAACAAGTCAAAATGAGGCTCAGTAGTATGTGTGGCCTCCACGTGGTGCCTGTATGACGTCCCTACAACGCCTGTGCATGCTCCTGATGATGTGGCGGATGGTCTCCTAAGGGATCTCCTCCCAGACTTGGACTAAAGCATCTTCCAACTCCTGGACAATCTGTGGTGCAACGTGACATTGGTGGATGGAGCGAGACATGATGTCCCAGATGATCTCAATTGGATTCAAATAATGGAGATTGTCAATGGGAACATAATATGATATGCTTATTATTTGATATTAGGGTTTAATATTAATCACTTAGTAACCTCTATTGGGATTCTTTTTGTTTATGGTATAGAATTTGTATATTACTACATATTCTTTTAACATTAATTAAGATTTTTTGAGGTAATTAGACCATACACCTTTAAATTTTATATATATAAATTTCACTTTAAGACTAGAGCCTTTTTGAACTATAGTCTGAAGATGTTAATATCAATTATTAAAATATAACACTTCTTTAATAGTTATGAAGTTATTAATTTATTTTTCCTTCTAGAGGTTGTTCAATATACTGCTCTGTGTTGATTTTTTATGATCACCTAATGATATTGAAGTAATTCGAAGGTGTAACGCAGGTGTAACGCAGGTGGAACGCACGTGGCACGCATATGGAACGCGGACGTACGGAATAATACACACTTCCGGTTTCGATTATATGGACGCGCCAAATTTGATTTCAACGCTGGAATAAGCATAATAATCAGCTGAGAAGTTCCCCTGTGAGGCCAATCAGGAGATAGAGGATTGACACCACCCATGGAACCACCAATGGACATAGGGATTAGCCCTATTTAAAGAGGACTTGGTGATGGGGGGAATAGGATGTTTTTTTACATGCTGTAATTTCATGCTTTGATTTTATTTACTGTCATGGTCCCTGAGGAAGTTCTTTAGAGAACGAAACGCGTAGGACCTACTGCTTGTTTTTTATATTACAATTTTATATTGAAGGTGTTTTTTACACCTTTTATCAATAAAAACATTGTTTTTTCTACCATTCTCCGTTTGGAGTCCAGAGTATCACTACGGTATTCTGTAAGGAAACAAGGGATCATCGGCCCCCCATCTTTATTGGGGGTGTCTTGCTAATTGCCTATAATTTTCACCTGTTGTCTATCCCATTTGCACAACAGCATGTGAAAATGATTGTCACTCAGTGTTGCTTCCTAAGTGGACAGTTTGATTTCACAGAAGTGTGATTGACTTGGAGTTACATTGTGTTGTTTAAGTGTTCCCTTTATTTTTTTGAGCATTGTATATATATATATATATGTTTATATATATATATATATATATATATATATATGTGTGTGTACTTTCTATTGCTGTGTAACATAGTAGAGATAGTAGAGATAGGGCTTTGGGTTTGGTAGGACTATGACTGCATCTAGCATAGAGCAATTGCATGTAGCTAGATTGAGATCGGGTCATCTCTTCTGAAATGTATACCTAGGTGGATATTATGCTTTTGAGTTGCAGGTAATGAGTTTGGTAAGTCATACTTCGTTTGCAGCTCCAAGAGTGAATATTGAGCACCATATGGACGCATCAGGAAGCAACCAAAATGAGGTTAAAAAAAAGATGATTGATGGCTAAGAGACAGTCATTAAATGTTGATTTTATTCACATGTCAAGTGAGAAGTGACCAATAGAGGAAAATAAAGAGGAGCAGTAAAAAAAGCTATACTTTCAAGCAGGATTGTTTCAAACACTCAGACTGCAGCTATTGAGGAAGACAGATCAGGAGTGATATTGTGAGTTTTACCCCTACGATATCTGGGTGGGTATAATAGATAGCCTGTGTCATTGATCTTAGTGTGAGACTGGTTAGGTTTAGGTTACTTCTGTACCTGCCAAGTTACTGCAGTTTCCAACTTTGAATGCAAGATAGATAGCCTTTTTAACTGAAAAAATGTTTGGCATTACCAAATATTTTCACCATGCACAAGTCTAGTATATATTTAATACATATTATAGAAAGTAGTTATGAAGTGGTATTCCCTGTATGATCTCTTCAACTAACCTTGGTCCTACTTCCGAAGCTCCCCCAACAGAGTAAATCTTAATCACAAATTAGACAAGTGTCATCTCTTGTCACAAGTGAAAGTCAGTATCCCAGTGGAGACAGACCAGCAATGGGATTACAAAAATAATGTCGTCAGGAGCGTGGAGCTGAAGTCAATAGTCAATGTTCATTATAATTTTCTATATGCACTCTGGAAGCAAAACTGAAGAAATGACAGGACACATCAACAGTATTGGAATTATTCTCTTTCTTCACCTCAATCTATGACTTTCTGAGTTTCTATTTTCCTGTTGAATTCTACCAGTTATTTGTTCCAACCCATGGTGTTGATAATAAAGATTCTGTATGTCAAATTAGGATCCACACACAAATGGGACTCTAACACACTATTTTACTATTCAAGCTTTTAAGCACTGGGGGTTAAGTAGAGCTCCAACAGAAGATACAGGACACATATGAGATATGTTTGCCAAAATGTCTTTGAATACGGAATAATTATATGAAATCTTTCGGCAGTGACTAAACACAATAATAACCTAGCCACGTCACAAACTTCAAACTAGAATCAGTGGCACAGGCTCCAATCCCACACAAGCACAACAGTGGTAAAACACATAATCGTTGCTGGTCTCCCTCCCTTAATAGTTAAAGTAAAAGTGTCTAGACAAATCCTGATGAAAAAGTATCGATTTTTTTAACTGATCCTCTTTAATGTTAAGTCAGGCCATGGATTGATATTATATATTTGTTTTCTGATTGAGGTGTTTGTGTGCTGTTTTCAAAAGATGTATAATGCTCAGTAGTGCAAAAATCATATGATTCTATAGGGTGCATAATGTACTAGCATATTATCGGAAGCTGATTAACATACACTGTTTGTTAGTCTTTGCGTTTAGATGTATCCATCTAGATATCCATTTTTATAGACATATAGATATTTGCTATATACTTTGATGTAAATTGATGAAAGTATAAATACTTTCATTTCTCACAATAGCTCCATATGTGGTTGGGCAATGCTGTTGGTAGAGATGTTCCATCAGTGTTTTACTCCCAGGTACCATAGTTTTTTTCTGCTTATTCATTTTATTCCAGATATGCAAAGCATAGCTCTCATCAAATGTTGGAAACTTTTCCCATGCCTGATAATATTTCTTCCAAGATGCATACGGGATAGGATAGTAACGCTGTGGGTATAAATAGGAGACATTTTTACATACAAGATCTTGTACACTTTCAAATCTAGAAATGTTACAAAATTTCTTCAGAACCCGTGTAAAGAGATGGGGGCCTTGATTTCCCCACACATTTCCTTTGTAGTTCTTCACAAAATCCTCCATGCTGTTCCATGTGAAATTGTGATGAGCAGGTAGTCCTAAAACAGCATTATTTAACACTTCTTGAGCCTCTGCTGTCAGAAAGTTGTCTTCTGGAACAGGTCGAATGGAAATTATGTCTGTGTCCATATAAATGCCCCCATATTTCCAAATAAGGGCCAATCTACAACCATTTGAATAGTTGTTTAGTAAGTAAGGTTGCCGTTTTTCATTAATCTACAATTAGAATTTAGAGTTATTAATGAGAAATAATTTCTTCATTTTTAAAAATACTAACAAGGCTAAAAGAACAATGTTTATTTTACTAATACAAAGGTGTGTTGTATTTATATATATATATTTAAAATAATTTAGTTTACAAGTTATGTCTTCCAACTAATGATGGTGTGCCAGATGGTACAATATATATTTATATTAGATGGAAATGTTGTTACTCTAAACCTAGGAGTTAGGGGGAGCCTCCAAAATGCCATGGAAAATTGTTAGCCCAGAGTCCCAAGACTCCTGAGACTCTATGCCTGTCTGTGTCTGTGTGTGTCTGGAAAACAGAAAATCTACAATACAATAATAACAGCCCTGGGCTTCTTTATTTAGTGCAGATTTTTATTTTGTTTGTATTTTTACTGTTTTTATATTTTGGATATTGCTTTCCCGGTGTTCCTGACTCCAGGAATCCTGCGATTAAATATAATGATGTGCCTTTTTCCCACTTCAATCTTGTAAGTGTGTATGTATATTAAAGTGTCTATTTTGACCAAGATACTCTGCACTATTATCTTTTATTTTTTTCTCCTTATATTTGCCATGATGCTTTACAAGTCCTGAGGTTTATGATATGCCTACAATCAATTTTGGTTTGTGAGTGTGAATTTTGCATTTACTTTCCACCTCTGAATTGTTGCAACATTATTGCACTATGTTTTTCTCTGTTATTATTGTATTGTAGATTTTCTGTTTTCCATATTATCTTGAAGACTGTGAGGAGTCTTTATCTACAGTACTTGTAGTACAAGGGTAATTGTTCTAGAGGTTTTTTTGTCTCTACCTATTACCCACTAAGTGTGTGTCTATTCCCACCTTTTTGGGTGTATTTGTACATTTTTTGTGTCTGTGTGTGTCTGTCTGTACATGTCTGTGTGTGCATGTCTGTCCCTGTGTATACCTGTCTTTGTCTGTGTGCCTGTATGTACATGTCTGTGTCTGTGTGTTCCTATAAGTGTCTGTCTGTGTGTACCTGTTTGTGCCTGTGTCTATAGGTGCCTGTCCATGTCTGTGTGTCTGTGCCTGTGTGTGCATGTCTGTGTGTGTCTGCCTATCTATGTCTACGTGTGTATGTGTATTGTGGCAGTGTGGGGGAACACCGCTATATTAGCCCGAGAATGGCACTTTCAGCTTAACCTGACTAGGGGTGTTAACAATCACGCTGCCCTAGAACATTAATTAGGGAGCTACATAAACCCTATGCAGAGGGGAATCAGTCTGTCCTGTGAAGATCTGAGCCGGAGACAGAGAGACTGTGAACCTGAGAGGCAAAGAGACTGCTAAACAAAAGGTATTTTGCAAGCATTTTATTTTGTTATTTGTTAAACTACTGGGGTCTGTTTAGCGGCCCTGTAACATAGAGAGGGTACTCTATGCCAGTCTCCAAAGCTGAGTAGGAATTTTTTTGTTTAATGTTTTGTTGTGGCTAAAGTAAGTCTGGTTTGCAAAATAAAGCTTCCCTCATATTGGAAAAA